GGGGTGTGAGGAGAAGGGGAGATGAGGAGAAGGGGGGGACTGAGAAGAACATAGGGAGGGTGGGTGGTGAGGAGAACACAGGGAGGGGGAGGTGAGGAGGACACAGGGAGGAGAGGGGGTAAGGAGGACACAGGGAGGAGAGGGGGTAAGAAGAACACAGGAAGGGGGGAGTTGAGAACACAGGGAGGGGGGAGGTGAGGAGAACACAGGGAGGGGGGAGGTGAGAAGAACACATGGAGGGTGGATGAGAAGAGCACAGGGAGGGTGGGTGAGTGTGACAAGAGACCGCTACGGTAGGGTGGGGGAGAGGAGAGACCACTAAGGGGCAGGGGAGAGCTAGAAGGGACAGCTCTATAGGACAGGGGGCAAGACAGGGAGCTCTTTCACACTACGCGCGCGCACACACAATGCATCCCTATACATACACAGAAACACACAATGCATCCCTACACACACAGAAACACAACATGTTTCCCTTACACACAGAGAAACACACAATGCATCCATTACACACAAAGACAATGCATCCTTTGCACACATACACAGAAACACACAATGCAAACCCTTACACTCACACACTGCTTTTCTTACATACACACAGAAACACAATGCATCACTAACACACACTCAATGCACACACTTACAGACACACACCTTGTATCCCTTATGCATACAAACACAGATTCACACAATGCATCCCTTACACACAACCAGAAACACACAATACATCCTTTATACACAAATACACACTGCTTCCACTACACACAAACACATTGCATCACCTGCACAAACTGGTATCCCTATACACTACATACCATCGGAGCAACAGTAGGTGCAGTCAGATTATAGCCTCTCCCTCGTGGTTCCGGCGCTCAGTTAGTGAGTCAGAGCACACGCTCAGAGATTCTCAGCCTGCGCTCTGACAACATTGAAAGTCAGAGCCGTGAAGGAGCGGGTATGGCAAAGAGCTACTGATTAGCATAACATCAATATCCGTTATAAAACCAGGAAAAGGTGGGTACCATTGCACTGATTTGGTGGTGCAATGAGCCACTTGACTGGTTTTGCCCGCCAGGCCTAAGGCTGCCAGCCCTCCCCTGTATATTGTAACCAAGTAAACTTGCAGAAGCTAGACACAGAGAGATGGATGCAGGTTTTCAGGAAGTAAGAGGTCTTAATTAACATACCGATCGGGCCTCAGATGAACTAACGTTCCAAAACAGGTCTGAGGGCCGAACACATGGAGTACATGCTTTTTATAGAACTATAACTCCTCCCATTAATAGCTCCACCCGCACATACCCTTAACCAATCAGTGGACAGACTTTGGATTTCCTCATATGGGCAGACCCATGTGCGTAGGAACCCAAAAAAAATCTGTGGGGGGGGGATAGCATTTTTACTGCCGGGTATATTCTTATTCCGTAAACTAGGAGTTGTTTATCCCATTGTACAGAGCTACGGAATTTGCAGTCGCTATATAAATGATTAAAAAATAACATTAAAGGGTCACTACAGGGAAGGGGTTTTACTTACCCGGATACAGCGCCGGGATCCTCCTGATGCCGCGCCCCCTATTTCGTCAAAATGACGAAATAGGAGGGTGTGAGCAGGGAGCAATAAAACGCTTCTATTCAGAAGCGTCATTGCTTTCTGGTGCGCATGTGCGGCAAAGATACTTCATAGGGCGGCATTCATGTCAGATTCATGCCATCTGAGTGTCCACTAGAGGTATTCCTCATCAGTAATGTAAATACTGCCTTTTACGAAATGGCAGTGCTTACATTAAAAAGCCTGCAAAGACATGCTATAGACACCAGAACTACTACGTTTAGCTGTTGTGGTTCTGGTGACTATAGTGTCCCTTGAATATAGAGAGGAAAAAAGAATCATCACAAATGTGAGAAATAAAATGTCTGTATCATTATTCTAAAAATTATTTAAAAAAATAAATATGCACATTCCTAGCTTAATTTTTAGCACGACATATGACACAAACATTTTGTACTTTGCAGATTACTTTTTATATTTTTTTATACATATAGAGATTGTGTAATACTGCCCCTGACTTAGGGTGACCACATTTCCTAACTGCCATTCAGTGACACTGTCAGAAATGCATTCCATACATTTTACTACCCGTCTCTACCCCTTCCATTTATATTAGAACCCCACCTACCCCTTCCATGAATATTAGAACCACCCCTACCCCACCCATGAATATTAGAACCACCCCTACCCCTTCCATGCACAAAAGAAACCCACCTACCCCTTCCACGCATATTAACCCCTACCCCTTCCATGCATATTAGTACCCCCCTAACCCCTTCCATGCATATTAGTACCCCTTAACCCCTTCCATGCATATTAGAACCCACCCTACCCCTTCCATTCATATTAGTACTCCCCTAACCCCTTCCAATAATTTTTCTACCTCCCCCCTCCTCCCATCCATATTAGTAGCCCCCCTAAACCCTTCCATTGATTTTTCTACCTACCCCTCTCCCCCTATCCTTATTAGTAGCCCCCTAACCCTTTCCAATTATTTTTCTACCTACCCCTCCCCCCATCCATATTAGTAGCCCCCCTAAACCCTTCCAATGATTTTTCTACCTTTGTCCCCCCTTTTACCTGACATAGCAGGAGGACCTCTGGACATCTGGCAGGCGCAGTGTCAGACTGAGTGCCAGGTAGTCACGTGACACTCGGCCAGGGCCGGTGCAAGGATTTTTGTCAACCTAGGCAAAAGTAAAGTTTGCCCCCCCATGTGACATCACAATGCCCCACCCATATAATCTGCCATGTTAACTAACGCCAGTGCTGGAGTGCCGCCGTGTTTACATTAAAAGGCCTGCAGAGAAAGGTTATAGACACCAGAACCACTACATTAAGCTGCAGTGGTTCTGGGGACTATAGTGTTTCTTTAATGTGAGGTAAATTAGAGATTAGTGCCACGAATAATATGCTAGATTGCCTACTTACAACCAGATGAGGATGATGATGGGCTCTAGCTGCAGTCTGGCTCCACTGGTCTGGTGTAGAACAGGCTCTCTGGAGGCTGTTTGTAACTGTGGTCACAAAAATCAATGTTCTGGGAGAGCGGGAAGCAGCTCCATTTTTTGGGGGGCCCTTTACACAGCTCAAGGTCTGGATCCCAGGGTCCACCTTCATGTTCCACCAATGAGTTTGTTCACAGGGGGTGGAGTGTGTAGGGGATGTCCTGATATGTGTGTAAGGAATGCATTGTGTGAATCTGTGTTTGTATGTGTAAGGGCTGCAAGGTCTGTTTCTGTGTCTGTACGGGATGCAGTGTGTGCGTCTGTAAGGGGTGTATTGAGTGTGTGTACGGGGTGCATTTAGTGTGTGTAAGGAATGCATTGTGTGTTTCTGTGTGTGTGTGTGTGATGGATGTCAATCTCTCTCCCTCCCTTGTCACTCTCTTTCTCCCCCTCCCTCCCTCCCTCCCTTGTCACTCT